GGAGCGGGGAGGGCGCGGGTGGCGGAGCCGCACTTTTCGCGCTCCGTCAGCTTGTCGTGGATGAAGGCGTTGGACGGATCGCCATCGGTGTCGGGGAGGGGCAGCGGCGGGGGCGCGGGGCCGCCGCCGCGGCGGTCGCCGCCGTAGCCGCCGCCGTAGCCGCCGCCGTAGCCGCCGCCGCCATACCCCCCGCGGTCGCCGCGATCGCCGTAGCCGCCGCGGTCGCCGCGGTCGCCGTAGCGCCGATCGTCCCGCTCCCGGCTCCGCCGTCCCCGCGAGCGAGACCGCGAGCGGCTACGGCGAGACTCGCGCTCGCGCTCGCGGCGGCGGCGGCGGCGGCGCTCGCGCTCCTCGGAGTCTTCGGAGTCGGAGTCGGAGCGCTCCTTCTTGTGCTTCTTCTCCTTCTTGCTCCGCCGCCGGTCCTCAGAGTCCGACGCGGAGTCTCGCGCCATTCTTGTACCAGAAGCGACCGCAACACGCCTCGCGGGGGGGCTGGAGTGCGGCGGCTGAGGCCGAACCTGTATTCTTTTTTTGCTCGGGCGGGAAGCTGACCTTGTTTCTTCTGGTGCCTTGGAGTGCTGGGGGGGGCGACAGGGAGGATGTGGCCCTGAGTTATGTGTACGCCGACTCAGGGTGTGTGGCAGCCAGCTGGCTGTGTGTCTTGTGAGCCTGTTTGTGTCTGTGTGTCGCTCGTGCGTGCGTTTGCGTGCGCCGAACCGCCGTGTGGCGTGTCATCTCTCAACTCTCATCATCTCTGTCCAGCGTCCACCCCCATACACAGATACCACCGCGTTGGTGTCCAGTCCGAGCCTGGCTGTTCTTCACCTTACTACATACATACGTGCACTGCCACAAGGGCACATGGAGAAGGAAACCGCATTCAACAAACAACAACACCAAGAGCCGCACCGTACTCCACCACCTCAAGAGACTCTCCATTATTGTATTAGCAGTCACATTATTGCTGCGCCCGATACTCCCGGATCTGGCTGCGCACGAGGTTGTTTGGGATGAGCATGGTCGACTGGAGCTCCACACCAGTGAGCGGCGAGGTCGTGTGGCCTTTGCTCAACCACGTCTCGATGGCGCGGCGCTCGTACGTCATCCCATCCATCATCACGACCGGATCGTCCATCAGCGCGAAGGTGATCGGGCAGAGGAAGGCCTCGGGGATGTCCGAGGGTCGAGTGGATGGCGGAGCAGCCTCGTCTACCAGCTCCGTGAGGGCGGCCGCCGCGTGCTGCAGCGGTTCCATCGCCTCCAACGGCTCGAACTCGATCGGCCGCTCGACGGCGCCAAGCCGCTCCTCGAGGCTCTCCCTACTCAGCACGCCGACACTGGCCTCCAACAAGTCCCCGTCGCTATTCACCGCCGCGCGCCTCGCCTCGCCCTCCAGCCTCGCGCTCTCCTGGAGCGCAGCCGGTGGCCTCTCGGCTTCCCCCTCTGCTTCCACCTCGTACAACTGTGGCGTCGGTGGAGACCTGTTTGCGCTTGTGTCTTTCAAGGGCAAAACCTACGGCCTCAACGGCTCAGGCCGCAGTCCTCGAGCGCTCAGCCTTGCCGCTGCCCGTGCTGATGGTCTGCATGCAGCTAGTGCACACAGCATCACAGTGCCGGGCGCAGTAGATGGCTGGGAGCGCTTGTGGCGCCGCTTTGGAAAGCTGCCCTGGTCGGACCTCTTCAAAGATGCAATTTACCACGCAAAGCACGGGCACATTCCGACGCAGGTCGAGGCAAACATGGCGCTTGCTGCAACTTTAGAGCGACTGGCTGTCGGGGGTGCAGCTGAGTTCTACCGCGGCTCGTTGGCAGACGACCTGTTGCGAGATACCCGCCGATTGGGCTCACTGCTCAACGCATCCGACTTGGCTTCACATGCTGGTGAGGACATCACGCCGATCAGCACAACCTATCGAGGATACCGCGTGTGGGAGCTGCAGTCCAACTCGCAGGGACTCACTGCCCTGGAGGCACTGAATGTGCTTGAAAACTTCAACATGAGTACGCTGGAGTTCTTGTCAGCAACCCACTTGCATCACATGATCGAAGCCACAAAGCTGGCCTTTGCTGACCGTGCACTATTCTCTGGTGATGGAATGGCGATCAACAGCAGCAAGTGGCATCGAGCCACCCAGCGGCTACTGAGTAAGAGATACGCCGCTCGGCTGAGTCGCACAATAAGCTCGACAGGGCACAAGAGGCGCAGCATGGACAACACGATACGTCCAGACCAATACGCTTTTAACGGCGCTCGATTGCAGCCTAACGGCGACACCATAAGCATCGTCGCCGGCGACGAGGACGGGATAATGATCAGCCTGATGCAGTCTAATTTCAACTCAAAGTTTATGCTCGAGACGCTCGGATTTGTGCTTCACAACCGCGGCAACCTGTTCTCCCTGGGTGAATCTAGCCCGGACCTATATGCACCGGGCTCTAGGCCATTCCATACGCTCACGCCGGCTCTTGTCACGGTGCGCACTGGCCATGGAATCGGGGAACGGCCATGGCTGGCATTTGGAATGACCGGTGGCAGCACGCAGCCGGTTGGGCACCTCCAACTGCTGACTAACATCATCGACTTTGGTCTGCCTCTTCAAGCGGCAATCGATGCACCACGATTCACCCACTGGCACCCAAACCAGCCATCAGGCTACTGGACCGAGCCACACTGGCAGCCGGCGGGGTGGCAATTGGCGGGAGGCTCACCGTCCGGTTCAATGGGCACTGCAGGATTTGTTCAGCTCGAGGCGCTGCATCCTTGCCTCAGCGCAAGTGTACGGAGTGCCCTAGCGGCATTTGGGCACTTACTCCCCGTAACCCCTCGCCGATCGATGTGTCCAGGGCGCATGCAGGCCATCGAGGTTGTCGGAGACCCGCAGACGCACAGCCGACCAAATTTCAAACTACAAGGCTACAGAGTCGGTTCAGATCGACGAGGATGAGCAGTCACTTAAGAACTATAGAACCAGTGCTGTGATGTATATGCTGCGGGCATTAACAGGCAGAGTGAACACGGCGATCGAGCACCGTACACCCATTCATCATGCGGTGAGACGGTCCGCGGTGTGACAGATGGTTGTGCTCTGTGTTGGGCACAGGGCTGCTGACGGAGGCGGACACACGTGGTAGAGTACAGGTACAAGGTGATGCGAATAACAGGGGAGAAGAACACGGCGGTTTGGAATGCGTGCAGTTTATTACCAGCATGGTTTAGACGCGGGAAGTAATCGGACTTAACCTTAGATAGGGTAAGGGTAAGGGTTTTGTCTTTTGAGTGCGCAGTCGCCCTCAATGCCAATCGTTATGAGCTTCGGATATTTGTCGCGTGTTTCTTCTGGCGCTACGCCTTGGAGGGTGGAGTGCTTTCGTGTTGAATAGTTTTCTAAAGTTCATGCCGTATCTGTATACTGCGTTCCTGAAGGAGCGTAGGGCGCTCGCGTACGTGACTTCGTAGTGGAACGGTATCTGTTTGAGGTCTACGTTTGCGAAGTCGTGGTAGAATTGGTTGTACGCGTGGCGTAAGAAGGCGCGTGCAGCTTCTGGGAGTAGGGTGGTTGGGCTGCCGATGCAAAAGATGATGGCGTTGCACATGTCGGGCGGCCTCGTGATGCCGAGGATGTCGACGCAGAAGCTGATGCACCGGCGCCAATATGGTGCGGTTTTCTCGCACTCGAAGAGGTGCAGGATGCGTTCGACACACCTGTTGCACAGCCGGCACTGTTGGGGGCCTGTGAGGTAGCAGGCGGCGCACGATCGGCGGCCGATTGCTCAGGACAGCGTGCATCAGCGCGGTCATGCCGTTGCTGGCCTGCTGGTTGACCTTGGCGCCGCGTCCCAGGAGCAGACCTGCTTCCGCATCTTCAGCCGGGCGCGCTCTCCCACTCCCATCCTCAGGCAGCCGCCCCGTCGCCTCGCGGAATTCTTGCAGGAGCGCCTTGCACGCCTGCAAGGTCGCGTCGTCCAGGTGCCCGCCCGTCTCCTCGGCCCGCTTCATCATCATCCTGACTTTGTCGGCCCTGCGTGACGGGTCCCCTGACATGACCGTCTCCGACTTGTCACCCGTTGTTTGACTGGGTTGGCCGACGGTTTTGGGGTGCATCGAAGAAAGAAATCCCTTTTCGTGTGGGCGGCGTGCCGTCCTCCCATCCCTCCCTTGGATTACCTTTTCTTTTTCTTTTTTTAGATCTATAACGGGACGGCGGAAAGACTTCACAAAATTGAAATGCTCGACTCGCCGGATGTGTGTGACGGCGAGACTGAGAAAGTACATACGCGAGGGGTGGGACGTGCTCACCGCTCCGCTGTCACGTCAGCGCATCATGATCTCTTTGAAGACGAGCTGGTCCACCCACATGCAATCGTTGAGCCGCTCTCGGCCGACGAGCATCGTCAGCTGGCGCCGCACCTCCCTCTCGGGCACATCCTGCCCACGCGCCTCGGTGAGGTACGCGTACACGGGCGGGAAGAGGTCGCCCAGCGCCTCACGACACTTGTCCTGCAGCGCCGGCACCGCCGGCCGCGGCGGCGGCGCCGCCGCCGGCGGCGGCCGCGGCGGCGCCTCCTCGTGGGAGAGGGAGGTCGGCGAGAAGGAGGAGGAGGAGGCGCGGTGAGGGGGTGCGCTCGGCCCTCGCGGGTACTCGGCGAGCGCGCTCAGCGCCTCGCTCGACGCGCCTCGCCCGTACTCGTGCGCCGCCGCCCGCTCGGCCAGCCCGGCGGTGGAGGAGCGGCGCGACGCGGCGAGGGCGAGCCGGTCCTGCGACAGCTGCGCCTGGCGAGGCGTGGCGCGGGGGGCGTCAGAGGAGAGGTGGCGAGGGCGGCTGCTGCGCCCCGAGGCCGGGCGAGAGGAGCGACGCGGGAGGTGTGCGGCGGCGGGTGTGCGGGGTGCAGTCTCACGCTCTGCGCCAAGAGGCGCGGGCACGCGCGAGCCACGAGAACTGCGGCTAGGCGGGGAGGCGATCGGACGCAGCAGGGTACGCGTTGCCGCCTCGAGTGCTAGTTGAATGCAGACAGCTATCTCTACGCCGCGGCGCCTGCGCCGCCTGCTGCAGCAGCCGCTGCCGCTCCGCCGCGTCGCGCGCGTTCGAGTCCCTCGCGGCAGCGGCGGCGCGTTGGGTTCGCTGCAGCATCGCGGGGTCGTGCTTCAGCGTCGCCTCGTACTCGTCAAAATCGTCCTCGTACGCCCCCTCCTCCTCCTCGTCGTTGTCCTCAGCCCCAAAGCAACCCGCGGAAGAACCGGCCCCGGCCCCTCCGTCGCCGCCTCCGCCACGCTGCGCCCAGCCCTGCAGCCCCGCTGGCGCCGGCGTGCGCCCCCTGCTGGGCGCCTGCTCGCTACCGAGCTTCGCCCGAGGGCCCTCCTGCGGCAGCGCAAACGTGAGGCACGTGAGGCAAGCGTCTCCACACACGCGCGCAAGCGCAACCCTGGCTCTACCCCCCTCGGTGGCTCTCTCCCCCTCCCCACCCTGTGACATGACATCAAAAGCCCCCCCGCGGCGTTGAGAGTGCGATGTGCCCCCCCGGGGGCAAAGGATGGGTCTGCCTGCGACGGCGGCCTCCAGCCAAGGGGAGGCCCGTCCGAGGCAGAGCGCGAGTGGGAGGCCTACAGTGGGTGCACACCAGAGTGAGGGGGGGCGAAAGGACAGGATCGAAGGTGCGCAAACAGTGAGTCCAGCTGCGCGTCCTCTCCCGCGCTGGTTGGAATACACGGGCGGCTCCGTATTCCGCATCTAGGGCGGCATGCCGGTCGCTCCGGCCGGCTAGACGGCAGCGACGGCGTGGGGGAGTGCATCGGCGACGGCTGCGGCGGCGAGTGCAGGCGGCTGGTGGAGGGGGAGGCCGCGCCGACCGGCTCGACGCCACTCCCCCGCGCGCGGTGCTCCTGCGGCCGGTAGTGCGGCGACGGCTGCGGCAAGTGCGACGGCGGCGGCTGCACGGGCGGCGTCCCGGCGCGGAACGGCAGCGGCGACCCCGCCAGCGATGCTGCGGCGGAGGGGGCAACGTCCCACCCGCCCGCGCCGCCCGCGCCGCTGCGCATCGTGCTGCCGGCGGCGGCGCACGCCGCATTCCCCGGCGCGCACGACGCGTCCAAGTTGGACCGGAGCTGCATCGAGCGGATGCCCTTTGCGATCTCGCGGTTCTCCGAGATGGAGCTGCGCGCGTGCCTAGAAGGTTCCTAGAAGCTTCCTAGACGGCTCCTACAAACCTCTCCGAGATGGAACCGGGTGCGTGCCTCTGTAGCTCGACCGACCGCCGGTCCGCGTCCGCCAGCTTGCGCCGCCTACGCTCGGCCGGTCTCGTGTGACCTCCGCGCCGACCGCCGGTCTCCGCCTCCGCCAGCCGCCTCATCCGCTCTGCCGGAGTGAGCTCTCCATCGCCCGACGCAGAGCCGCGGCAAGACTCCTCGGCAATGGTCTCGTACCCTCCCGAGCCGAGCTGCTCGGCCGACGAGCCGCGGTCAGCGAAGGAGCTCACCTAGAAGGTTCATAGAGGGCTCCTGGAAGCCTCCTGGAAGCCTCCTGGAAGCCTCCTAGAAGGTCAGCGAAGGGGCCCACCGAGCTGCGGCGCGGCGGAGGCACCCCGAACCGCTCTGTCGCGCCGAGCGCGTCTCCGCCTGTGACCGGAAGATGGATGAGGCGGGGTGGATGCCGCGTGGGGAGGGAGTGCGGCGGAGCACGTGTCCTCTCGAGTGCGGCATGTACCCGCGAGTCGGGCCGCGCGCATCTCTCTTTCGCATCTGCAGCCTCCGCCAGGAGAGGCTGGCCTCAGCTCCTCGCGCCGGAGCGGCGGGTGCTCCGCGTATTCGGGCGCGAAAGACGCGGCGCGGCGGGCGGCGGGCGGGGTGGGGTTGCCCTCAGGGGAGTGGGAGGACGGCCCCGCGGCGGCGAAGGAGCGGCGCGGCGCCGGCGCCGGCATGAGCCTCTCCCCCGACGACGACGCCGAGCCCGAGTCTCTCGAGCGGTCGGCGGACGGGACGAGGGACGCGCGGCGGGCGGTCCCGCTCTGGGGCCGGCTGAGCGGCGCGCTGGCGGCGCCCGCCCGCGCCTCGCCCGACGAGAGCCCTCCAGAGGAGGGGCGCCGCGTGGCAGACCCGATCGGCTGCCGCATTGTTCGGCTCCCGCCGTTGCTGCTGCTGCTGCTGCTGCTGCCGCCGCTGCCTCCGCCTCCGCCTCCGCCTCCGCCTCCGCCTCCGCCTCCGCCTCCGCCGCTGCCGCCTCCGCCGCCTCCGCCTCCGCCTCCGCCGCCGCGGCACGAGGAGCCGGGCGCGGCGGCGCGCTGTGGTGTGCGCGCACCGGCGGCGGTCTCGTCGCGCCCTTGCGGCTGGCGCGGTGCGGCGAGCATCGACGCGGGCGCCGACTGCGCGAGCTGCGAGGTGAGGAACTCGCGCACAAACGGCGTGGCGAGTATGTCGTCGAGCGACGGTCGGTGCTCGGGCTGCTTGGCGAGCATCCGGCCGACGAGCTCGCGCAGCCGAGGCGAGTACGACTCGGGCAGCGGCGGGTACTTTTGCTGCACGATCTTGTACACCAGCCCGAGGAGGTTGGAGCCGTTCCAGGCCTGCTGCAGCGCGCACATCTCGTAGAGAATGCAGCCGAGGGCCCAGACGTCAGACTTGAACGAGTACGGCTGGTTCTGGCACACCTCGGGCGACATGTAGTACGGCGTCCCGATCACCGTGCTCGCCGCCGCCATCGACCCCTCCATCACCTTTGCGATGCCGAAATCGCCGAGCTTGATGAGCGCGCGCCCGTTGTGATGCGCGATGAAGATGTTTTGCGTCTTGAGGTCGCGGTGGAGGATGCGCTTGGAGTGGACATAGCGCAGCGCCATCACCATCTGCACGAACCAGTCCAGCACCTGCTTCTCGTCGAAGGACTCGCCGCGCGTGGCGCGCCGTTTGATTTCGTGCGAGAGGTCGCCTCCCTCGCAGTACGCCATCACGACGCACAGCGTCTGGCTCGCGCGGCACACAAAGTGCTCGTGGTAGCGCACGATGCCAGGGTGGTCGAGCGAGCGCAGCACCTCCACCTCTTGCTGCGCCTGCGCCCGCTCGTCCTCCGTGAAGGCCTCCATCGAGATCTGCTTGAGGCAGTAGTCACGGCCGTTACGTACGTCGCGCGCGAGTGCGACGGTGCCATAGTTGCCTCTGCCGATACGCTTCAGGTCGGCATAGTTGTCCATGGCGTCCGCCGCGAGCCGCGGCGAGGATGTGAGGCACTTGTGGGCTGGGCCCCTCGCCGCGGCTCGCCCCAGCCAGCCCCTCCGAACGCTCTCTCGCTCAGGAAGGAGAAACGCGAGTGCGGGAGTTGTTTTGTTTTTGCGGCCCATCTCTCCGGGAGATGCCTGCTCGATTTATTTACTTATTTTGTAGTGCCGAACGCCTCAGCACGCTGTGATTTTGCGTGAGCTCTGTGTCTTGATCTGTTAACAACAAAACCTAAAAGCGCAAGCAAGGCAAGAAACGCTGCCAATTGCGAACCACGGACGGAGCGGGCGCAGGGCGAAAAGAGTTTCTCGCACGGTCGCTGGCGGCGAGGTGGGGGACTAACACGTCGGACACGTCCACGACAGGCACGCATGGGACCCTTCAGGCGTCAAATCGCGTTTCTTATTACCGGGATTAAAATTCTTATTATTGAGCCGGGGCTCACTCTCGCCGCGCGCGCTACCTACACGTTTTCACGTTTTGGCGGAACGCATGCGGTAACAATGCTGCTGCGCGTACTCTGCCTCGCAGGTCTGGGGTTGGCACTACCTGCATCTCCCGGGGCGGATGCTGACTTTGACATTGATGCGCACTTCTCGAGGTACATTCTCGGCAAACTGTTCTATTACAACGGCACCAGCCAGGCACGGCAAAAATCTTGTATAAAGAAAGAAAGAAAACAGACAACCCAAACGAGGGATAGGGGAGGAGGACAGGGTCCACACACACCTGCACGACAGCACGAGCAGGAAGGATTTTGGTTGGAAGGACGATCAGGGGGACAGGTGGGGCTCTCCTGCTCCTGACAAGGGACACGACAGGCTCGCAGCGCGGTGCACGGTGGAATCCCAACTCCACTGGCGGTCTCACTCATCTCAGTCTAGCGACCTGCCTCCAGCTTCTCATCTCAACGCAAACAAATATCTTCTTCCAGCCAGGGCTTCACCAGAGCTGTCGGCGCCGCAACGCCACGGTGAACGCCGCTGGGCGCGGAGTGTGGCGAGTCAGTTTGGGGGTCTCCCGTGTGCACATGGAACCTTCTGCACATCACGCCGTGCGGGAGCCGCAGCTTCAGTTCCAAATCGAAGACCTCGACGAACTTCCACACGGCAGTGGCACCGAGTGCATGCGATCGCCGCCCGATGCGAGCGTTCAACAGCAGCCAGAGGGCGAGGCGGAGGCGGCGGAGGCGTCCGCGAGGGCTAGACGCGAGCGACGCGTGGACCCCGCCTGCCCGCAGGGCGAGTCGTACACGCGCGCCGAGTTCCGCGCCTTTTACGGCTCCCTCGAGCAGTGGCACGCCGCGGCTCCCTTGAGCAGTGGCAGCTCAGGCACGCCTCAGTCAGGCGGGGCGGCGGCGGGCTCTTCGGACTCGCCGTATCCCCGCGCCTCCGCGCTGCCGCCGGGCTGGAGCAAGATCACCGACTACGGCAAGATCAAGGGCTACCGCGGGCCGGACGGCAAGAAGGTCACGACGAAGAGGGCGGCGTGGCGCCTGCACGAGGAGGCGGCGGAGGAGACGGGGGCGAGCTCCGAGACTAAGGAGGTCGAGGTGGAGGTTGACGAGGAGGATGGCCCCGATTGTGGCGTGGCGCCGCCGCCGCGCCCCGCCGCTCCACCGCCACCTCGCCCCGCCGAGCGTGCCGCACCGCTCTCGGCCGCGCCGCCCTCTGAGCTGGCGGCCAGGGCCGCCGCAACGTCTGCCGCTTACGGGGCGTTGACGCCCCCCCGCAAGCGGCAGAAGACTGGCGGCGCTGGCGGCAGCAGCACGAGTGGCGGCGGCGTCTCCGAGGACGCCATGCTGGCGGCGGCTGCGGCGGCAGATCCGCAAGAGATCGTGACGGCGATCGTGTGCGACGGCTGCGAGGCGGCGTTTGAGCTGCCGCCCGGCGAGCTCGTCCCAGATGGCGACTGGTTCTGCGCGGCGTGCAAGTCCGCTGAGCCGCAGGGAGCGGCGGCCACCGCCAGCGCCACCGGCGCTTCCTCCTCCGCCGCCGCCTCCGGCGCCCAACGGCAGGCGCCGCCGCCGCCGCCACGGCCGCCGCCCCAGAAGCTGCCGCCGAAGCTTGGTGTCGGCGCCCGAGTACGCGTCAAGGGCAAGGGCTATGGCATCGTGCTGAAGCAGGAGCGGGATGGCGATTGGTTGACGGTGCAACTGGACAGCACCGGGGGACCAATCAAGGCGCAATCAACGGCGGTCTTCGCTACCGGCGAGGGGCAGGAGGCATCGGCACCGGCGGGTGGGGAAGCGGCCAGGAGCGGCGGCACCCCCTCAAAGCCAGACGGCCCTCCGTCGCCGAGCGCTACGGCTGAGCATCAGGCTGAGTTGGACGAGGTGAGGCGAGAGGCGGCGGCGGAGGCGGCGGCGCGTGTGGCGGCGGAGGAGAGGAGCGCCGCCCTCGAGCGGAGGGCCCAGGTCGCCGAGGAGAAAAGCGTCGAGTTCGAGCGGAGGGAGAAGGAGGAGAAGGCGGCGCGCGAGGCGGCAGAGGCCAAGCTGAGTGCCGCTGAGGAGGAGTTGGCGTCGCAGAAGGCGGCGCGCGAGGAGGAGAAGGAGGCGCGTGAGGCGGCCGAGAGGCGCCTGGCAGAGGAGAGGGAAAGCAGCGCCGCCGAGATCGCCGCGCTCAAGATGGACACCGAAATCTTGTGGAGGCGGAATCTACAAAACTAGAGGCTGAGTTGTTACTGAGAAGTGAACAAATTGTAAAACATTCTGTCTGGCGCCCCGGGGGCCAATATGGACCCCGTGGCGCCCGCGCTCTCTGGGCCGGCGGGCGGCGATGGTACGATCGCCGCCGCGGGGGAGGAGGAGGAGGTCGAGGGCGCTGCTGCCGCCGCCGAGAGGCGGGCCGCCGCGCTCCGGAGACCCCAATTGTCGCCGATCCTTCAGCGACGCGCCATACCGACACCGGGCACAGTTCGCAGCCACTTGCTGCCCCCCTGCGTCCGCCGCGGAGCTTCGGATTCTACTTACAGCGGCGCGGACGCGGAGGAGGCAGGCGGGGGCTCTGGGGCGGCGGAGGCGAGCGCGGCGGCCACGGCCGAGGAGGACAAGCGCGTCCGGGCGCTGAGGATTGCCCTGCAGCACAAGACGCAGATGCCCGTGACGGACGAGGAGGCCCGGGCTATCCTCCAGGCGCGAGGGGGTCGCGAGACTCCCGTGACGGAGGAGGAGGCGCGGGTCATCTTTCGGGCGCGGGGACACGTCGCGCGGCAGGGCTACCTTTCAGGCGCGGGCGCGCGGGCGCGGCGGGCGCGCCACGGCATCGCCGGCGCTGGCGAGCAAGGGCGGCGAGAAGCTATCGCGGCGTGGGAAGAAGGCGGTGGCGAAGGAGGCGGGCGAGGTGGCATCACGCGAGGAAGGCGAGGCGATTTCTCGCGCGACGCTCGAGTCGCTGTTGGCGTCCACCGATGAGTATGACGATCGGCCGTCGATCCCGAGGCACGAGGGTCGTCGGTTGAGCTAGGGAGCCTGGCGATGGACGCCACCGCGACCCCTCGTGGCATCTCTCTCGCCGTCGGCGAGCTAGGGGCTCACGGACGGCCGACTTTTTATATGACCAGTAGGACAGCCGTGAGTGTGAATCGGATTTTCCGAGTGAGTTTGCGTCCGTCCACCGTCTTCGTGGACGTCTGTCCTCGTGACACCCACACCCCAACGGCCTGTCTTGCTTCTGTCGTACCGGTGTCAGCCTCTCTGTAGAGCATCCGGGACGATCCTGCCACATCCATACCGCGACGTGCGGGCTGCGCTCAGGGCAGCACAGTGCCGCTCAGGGCCACGCCGTCGCCAGGAGAGGCGGGCGGCCCGACGGGCAGCTCTCCCGGCATGGTTCTGGCAGAGGTTTCGCCGTCCGGGGACGGCGGGATGGGTATCGTCGAGCTCCTCAAGGCAAAGCGGGGCGGGAAGTCCCTACCATGTGGAGACGATCAGTTGGCTGTAGTCGCCGAGGCTATGGTCGGGGACGGGACGAGCGCCGCGACGCTGCGGGAGAACATCGGCGACGCGAGCATGGTCGACGTCGTCTCGCCGTACTTTGCGACAGCCATGGGCAGGGACACGCTGCCGCCCTTCCCGCAGGCCATCCTCCGGGCGTGGTGGCTTGGGGCCGCTCAGACTGGAGGCGCCCTGCAGGTGGCCCGATCGGCGAGCGCCCTGCCGGGGCGCGTCGCGTCGGCTCCAGCGGCAGAGGAGGAGTCCGCCCTGACCGAGGTGCAGGTCGCCGAGCTTGCCAAGCAGAATCTCAGCTCGACAGGCGCGCTCGCACTTAGCGTCTCCCTCCTCACTGGGTACGTAGTCACAGCCATGGACCTGGCAAGCGGGGACCGGCCTTCGAGGGCGCAGTCTTCGGCCGGAACCTGTGGACAGTCAAGTGCGTGCGACAGACCAAAGACGACCCGGGCAGCCTCCACCACATGCCCTCAAATCTGGCGAGCGGAGCCAGGTCGTCCAGCATCTCCGCAATCTTGGCAAAGGCTACCGCGAGAGGGATATGCTGGCCGAGGCTTCACTCATCCTCGAGTTTTCGTCGGGACTGGGCGAATTCACGGAGGACAAGCAGTTCTTCGACTACATCCAGCGGTATTTCCGCAAAGTACCCGGGGCGCGGCCTGCCGGAGCTGCCGCTCGACCGCATCGTTCGCGACGACGTCTACCGCGAGCATGAGAGGTCAGTCGAGTCGTTCGAGAAGGAGCTGGCCGAGCTCGCCAAGCGCGTGACCAAGGCGGAGGCGGCATCGGCGGAGGCCCAGCGGACGGCCGATGAGGCGAAGCGGTCGGGCAAGTCCGGCGCCCCAAGACTTGCTGGTGGTGCGGCGAGGAGGGGCACGTCAAGGGGCCTGACTGCCCCGTCTTCAGCGCTGGGGAGCCGAAGGTCAAGAAGGGCAACTGACGCCCGCGGGACCTAGCCCCACCGACCTGCCTCGCTCGCTCCGCGTGACACTCACGCGCCGCGGGCGGGGCTCGGGCGGACGGTGAGGCGCCCCACCGCGCCGTGGCTGCCCGGGCTCATCAAGGGAGAGCCGACGCCCCTAACAGGGTGGCTCCTTCTCTGATCCTCGCCCGGGCAGCCCGGCGCTTTTCTGTGTTCCCACCTCACAGAGGTGATGGCGCCTCTCCTCCCCGACACCAGGGCGAGGCAGGCGTCTCCTCACACCTGGTGGGGTGGTTCGGTGTGTTTGGTGCGTCGTCTGTGGCACCACAGTAGTCGCGACCAGGCTGTCGAAGCCGGTGCTGGTGCCTGAGAGGGTTGAGGCGGGGGTGGTGTTTCACTAGCCACTAGCACTAGAGCCGTACACCAAAAGTACACCAAAATACCCAAATCTGCCATAAGTCAGAAGAGCACAGGAGCACAGCTGTTGGTCATGGTCTGAGGTCTCGACGCACTCTCACGCGGAAAACACTCTCGTCACCCCATCCCCGGGGCGGACACGTACGGCTTTACTACTACCACGTACCTCCTCGTACGTACAGCTTCAGCTCGTGTGTATTGACGTAGAGCGGTGTACCCGCCGCGTGTGGCAACTGCCGCCGTTTGTGACCCGGGCGCCGGACGATGCAGACAAACAGCTCAGATGTCGTCGTCGTCGAGGTCGAGGTCGTGGTGCGAGTTTGCCGGCGGGGCGGACCCCAGCGACGACGCGTGCGCCGCGAAGCCGCGCTGAGTGGCGCGCGAGTCGACGCTGCCGCCTGCCCCCGCCCCGGCGCCCGCAACCGTCTCCTGGCTCCACGCCTACCCCCACACGCCGGGACAGCTCGACTCTCTCCCTCGATCTCTCGGGAAAGAGAGGCCGCGCCCACTGCCTGGCTGGCCCCTGCCCGGCTGCCGGCCGGACTCGGAGAGCGGCAAGGCTGCGAGGCTGCGAAGCCGCCAAAGAGCGCCTGCGGCACGGGACACGCCAGCGGGGCTGGAGGAGGGCGGCTCTCGGGGCGGGCGCAGCATCCCTCCCCCCCGGCCCCCGCCCCGCCCGGGCGTGCCTCGTCGTCGTCGTCGCCGTCGCCCGATGCCGCCGGCGCCCAAGCAGCACCAACCCTCCGCCCGTGCCCGCCTGTGCGCAAGGCGGTACCGCCGCCCGCCAGCGACGGGGAGGCGGCTCCAGAGCTCGAGGCGGCCGCGTCTCGTGAGAGCCGCTGCCGCAGCGGGGGCGGAGGAGGAGGCATGTACCGAGGTGCGGGCCGCGGCGGCGCGGCGGCACGCGCGGAGCCGCCGCCAATGCCTCCGCCGCCTCCGCCGCCGCCTCCGCCACCACCACCGCCACCGCCGCCGCCTCCGCCACCGCCTCCACCTCCACCTCCGCCGCGGCGGCGAGGGGCGAGCATCGACGCGGGGTACTGGTCCATGTCCTCCGGCGGAGAAGCCTCGACACTTGCCTCGAGCCCGCCGCCTCCGAACCCACCGCCGCTGCCGCCTCGGACGTCGCAGCCTCCGACCCAATCCCGCCCCGACTCGAGCCGGCGCAGCTCCGCCTCCTCCCCCAAATCCACGTCGCTCACCAGCCGACCCAACCGCACCCGCGCCTGGGCCGGCGGCCCGCCGCCGCCGCCGCCGCCGCCACCGCCGCCACCGCCGCCGCCCAGCCGCTCCGCCTGTGGGGGGGCAGAAGCCCGGCGTGTGAGTGGAGTGGAGGGGGCCCTGCAGAGCCGCCGCCCCCGCCGACCCGCCACCTCGCGCTCCTCGGCGACGGCGGCGGCGAAGCGGCGCGCGACCTCGGCATCGCTCGGCATCTCCCCCGGCCGAGGCTGCGGCGGCCGCGCCTGGCGCGTCGGCTGCGGCGGCTGGCGGGGCTGCTGGCGGGGCTGCTGGCGGGGCTGCTGGCGGGGCTGCGGCTGCGGCTGCGGCTGCTGCGGCTGCTGCGGCGACTGTGGCCGCGGCCGTGGTGGCGACACTGGCTGCAGCCTCGACTGCTGCGGCTGCGGCTGCGGCGGCTGCTGCTGCTGCGGCTGCTGCGGCTGCTGCGGCTGCTGCGGCTGCTGCGGCTGCTGCGGCTGCTGCGGCTGCTGCGGCTGCTGCGGCTGCTGCGGCTGCTGCGGCTGCAGCGGCTGCGAGAGGGCGGGGCGGGGCGCTGCCTCCGCCTCTGGGGGCGCTCCCGCTTGAGCTGTGCCACGGGGCGGGACAGCGTAGAGGAGGGAGGCGGACCCTGCGGGGAGGGGGGGGGGGAGCCCGAATGGAGCCAGGGGGACTTCCCCCCGAGGGGTGGGCCGAAGGGGCGGGGGGGGG